GCAGCAGTGGGCGGCTTCAGTGTCCAGTTCTGAGTCATGGGCATGGGTTGCCTGTATAAAAATCAAGTAACGTTTGAGTTTCAGTTTTATGGAATTTCTTTTGTAAAAAGTGAGACACGGTAAAATAGAAACCTAGCCAGAGATGGCCATGCTTGTATTTCACAGCACTTTAGCAGAAGTGGCATCGTGAGTTAGCCAGGCCAGCAGTTCGAAGCCCCCAGCCACCCTGCGGGAGCACAATGAGGCCATCTATTCCGGGCGTAGATTCACAGTCTTGGAAACGCACAGGGCCCGTCTACTCTGTCTACATGGCGCTCAGAGGCGGCACCGACGGGTGGCACTGCGTTGGGTTTTCAGGGGCTCTGATCTTTTAATGACTGTGAGTGGGGGCTCCACCTGGATGATGTTTCGCTCGACGCCACAGATACAGTTCCCAACACTGCGTGCACAATACTTTATTTTAATCTTTTCAGTCCAGTAACATGTTCATCGCAGCGGTGCTGACTGCGGCGGATGCTGGGCAGAGGGGGAGGAGAACGGCATCCACCCAGACTCCAAGGCCTCCATGTGCTGGGTTTTGGAACCACAGGGTCCGACTTGCCCAGAGACAACACAGACTGCTGTGGGAAAGGGGCTGGCGCCTGAGATGCAGGAAAGGATTTTCTAATCTGCTAAGTCGGTGCCAGAAATGGACATTCCCCTGTGTCCTTAAAGAGCAGGAATGGGGAATGGCCAGGCAAAGGTACTTCTGGGAGACCAAGTCACCCTCCCTACCCACGTTTCCTCGTGCCCTGCTGTACTGTCCTTTCCAGCCCTCTTATCCTGGCTCTTCTCTGCTTCCCTTGTCCCTTTCTTTCCTCCTGTGTGCCCTTTTTTCCTTCCTCTTGGCATGTCCCCCCTTGACTAGTATTTTATTTCCCCCCCTCCCTCATTCCTTGCTAATTGCTTTTTCCCTCTCTACTCTTTCTAATTTGGGTTGTGTTTTCCTTTTCAGTTAATAAATTATTTTTCTTTTTTCTTGATGCTGTTTGTCAGCTTCTCCCAGTCGGTGTTTTTTTTTATTATTATTTTTAATTTTCTGGTTTTGACTGATGTTTGCTTTTGTTCTCCATTACGGTTTTTCTTGTCATGCGCAATGGAAGACAACGAGCTTGCCCACACAGCACAGGTACGGCTGTGCCTCCTGTAGCCATATCCACTGTAGCTTGCCACCTGTTCATCAACAGTTGGCTGCAAACCTACCCTCAACTGTGCCACAGAACAGGAGGCAGAGCTGTGTGCACACTCACCGTATCTATCACAGGCAGTGACAGGCTGAGGTCTGATCAACATGCAGTCAGCAACTAAAATACAAATACACTACCACCACAAAGCCTCTGCCCACTTTGGACAGGGCAGAGTGGCTCACCCTAGATGCCAATACACAGACCCAGACGAGCTTCTCAAGAAGAAAAGGCGGTGGACCTACCTGAAAGGACAGAGCTGAGATCCCCTCACTGGGCTGAGGAAGACCAACAAAAGCAAACAAAGCAGAGGAGAAGACGCTGTAGGTGGATTCAGGACACCACTACAAGTACAGGCTGACCAAATGAGTGAACAAATCAGGCACGATACAAAAGCAGCACACGAATTCAGAGGATTCATAATAAAATTTCGAAAATAGATCATGCACTGAGATAGCCAAGCAGCAGCACGAGTCTGTAGAAGACCAAATAGTGAGTCCGGAGACCAATCTCCCAACCCTCATCTGTCAGGGAAAACAATCTTTCAACACCTCAGGAAAGCCGAAGAACGATGCAGGCACTCCCAGGAAGAGTAGCTTACATGGGACCAGAATTTCACAACAGGAAGAAACATTAAAAAAACGAAGAAATTGCCAGAGAGTCATTGGAAAAACTTCCCTACCATCATGAAAAACAAGGAGATCTGCCTTCGAGAAGCTGAACGGATCCCAGATGACAGACACACACCTAAAGGACCAGGAGACAAATCCTAATCAAGACGTTGCAAAAACAAAGACAAGGAAGGAATCCTGGGGGCAGCATGGAAGAAGATGCAGGAATTACGTTCTGATTTCTCAGCAGAAGCCACGCAGGTTAGAAAGCAACGGGACGACCACGACAGCTCTGAAAGAAAGAAACCACCAAGTCTCTTTCCCAGCAAGACTGTCCCCACGGTGCGGCAAACTGAGCCGTCTCCAGACAGAGACAGTGAAGGAACTGCATAAGCCAGACCAACAAAGCATGAAGTCCTGCGGCCAGTTCTGTCGGCAGAGACAGCAACCTGAAATTAACCCACACGACACCACAACCCAGGAGTCGTCTGGGACGTCAAACTGTCCCAAGTGAAACAGAGCTTCATGCCTGAAAGCAGGGACCCACCCACGGAAATGTTAACAACAGGAGAAACAGTGTCTTTAGAGAACGTTCAAATGCAGAAGATACCAAGTATCTGCTTAAATGTCCGGAAAAAGTCATACGTGATGGGGCAATCTCAATCAAAGTGCTCAAACGTCATGGAATTAAAAGGGAAGAGAT